AAAAAAGGTATCACAGCACCGTGCCTTTTTCTCGGCACATCCAGGTGGCGAGAGGCTCAGCAGTATGCAGGCGGCGTGCAACGTCCCGCGCGCCGATAGGCTGCGGCCGCCCGACCAATCAGCGCGGCCCTCGGCCCCAGGAGCCGCTGCCTAGCAACCGCCGCGAGCCCGGGCTGACAGGCCGGCACGCAGCGCTGTCAGGAAGGCGGGCCGGGGTCGGAGGGTCCCGCGCCGCCGCCCGCCATTACGGCTCTGCTCGGCGCGGCGCGCTGCTTCTCCTCACGGCGCCCCCAGGAGCGGGAGCGGAGAAATACCCCGGGGCAGCCGGGGTGCTTCAGGAATCCCAGCTAGCCCAGGGGCTGGCTAGACTCTCAATATGCTCCACTTCAAAATACGAGTCCTTCCCTCCCAAATGCTCTTTTTTTTTTTTTCCTCTTAAATTTCTCCTTTCATGTTGCAGCCCACCAAGATGTTGTTGATTACGAGAAGTCAGACAGAAATTAAAACCAATAAAAGCCCAGGAAGGAAGTCACCTTTCTTTGAGCCAAAGAGCAAAAAGTCACAGATCGAATCGTGGCGAATAAAACAAACCCTCGGTTTGCAGGCAGCACTGAGGACGAGGGGTTTGCATTGTGCTTAAGTAGAAACCCAAACCCTTTGGAATTGATTCCTTTTGTTTGTGGAACATGGATGATCAGCTCTGCAGGACTGAGCTACCTGTGCAGCCCCCGTTCGGGGGGCACTGCGGGGCCCGAAGGCGAACTGGTCCTCCTGTGGCTGTGCCCATCCACGGCAACGAATGCCAACCTGAAGCTGTTGATCTGTTTGCGCTCAGATAGGAAACAACAGCATTCGCGCCCTGTCAAACCCAAGTGCTGAGAATTTAGCTGTGTGAGAAAACACCCAGGCAGACAGCAGCGCCAACACACGTTTTTGTCCATTTCCCTCTGATTTCTTGCAGCTCTCTACACACGACCTCCATTCCAATCCAGGTGGGTGCCACGAGCCACGCAAATGGTGGTTAACAAAAACCTACAGCTCGTTTTGAACTACAAAAACACCTTTTTTTCCTTCCCATCCACAAAGGAGACACTACATAGCCTAATTCCCCTTTGGTTTCTGCTGCTCACCCACCCCACCAGGCCGCTTTTGTCCGGCCCCGCAGCACAGAGGGGCCGCAGCCCGCAGCCCGCCTGGCACAATGCCTTTGCATTGACCTCTGCGCTTCCTTCCCAACGCGCCGCAGTCACATGGCCCCGCGCAGCCCCACACACCGCTGCTCCAGCAGCTGCTGCTGCTGTGGGGAAGGAGCAACTTTTCAGGTTTTTTGCACCACGCGCACCCGCAATAATAATAATTATTAAAAAAGAGCTGTCGCACAGCAGGCCGCAGCAGGTAATGGGGTTATGGAAGCACAACCCCAAGCAGCGTGAGGGGACACAACCTTGGAGGTACGCCCTGAGAGCACAGGTGATGCAAAGGATGCCCCACTTCAGTCGTTCTCCAGCACATCCAACCCCTGCATAGCACCAGCGTGGGCTTTACACCACCAGGCAGCTGCTTGTAATCTCCTATTAGAGAGCCTCCCTTCCCTATCAGAGTTTGTTTCATGCTCCAACAGCCAGGAATTGTTTAGGGTAATGCACTGTTATTTTAGAGGAAGGGTCTAAGATATAAAGGAAAGAGGAACTTCCCCCCCCAAAAAATCTGGGGAAAACCATTAGTGAAAGGATGCCGAGAAACATGGAGTAAGCTGTGAACTCACAGGGAAGATCATCCCCCAAAAAGAGCACGGGAGATGATCCAGAGGAAGGCAACCACCGAGCAGACGGAGGCAGAAACAACGCGGAGCCGCTGCTCCGCACGCACCACGCTGGCAGGCAAACCCACAATGCACTCGCCACGCATCGCTCCGAACCCACAAGCAAACAGCGAAACAAAGACAGCAGCGGACACGGCAGGATGCAGACGCGCACGGGCGCAGGCACGCGCGCAGGCAGGGAAATGCACATGCACACGGACTCGGGGGAGACGCGTGAGCACACGCAGGCGGCATTACCCTGAGCTCAGCTCCTTTTCTCTCGCATTAGGTACCGTGCACCATACGGCTCTATTCCCTCTGGCATTGCGAGGGCTCCCCTGCCACTGAGCTCAGCCCATAAACCACTCCCAAACCCCAGCAGAGGCTTCTGTTTTTTGTTCGGGCCAATGAGAAAAGTATAGCTCACTCTTCCTTCCTCCCAGGAGCAGCGCCGGCTGGTTGAAATCCCTAAGCCTGAAACCGAATACCACAAACCCATGAGCCGACGGCGAGTGCCAAAGCGGGGAGAAGGAGCGGCCCCGCGGCGGGCAGGACGGAGCGGCTCCGCGCTGCCCCTCACCTCCGCCCCGGGCAACGCTAACGGCCCGAGCCACGCTCCCGCACGGGGGCCCCGTAACCGAAAGCCACAAATTACGCCGCCAGACAAAAGGAACCATTGTCACCCGGCAGACACGGGGCCAGCGCTCGCGGCCCCTTCTGCCGTCCTCCCCCGCCCCGGCCCCACCGGCCCCCGCAGCGCCGACCCCGCCCGCAGCCCTTGCGGGAGGCCCGAGGGCCCCGGGTCCCTCGCGAGGAGGAGGACCCGTCTTCCCCTCGTGGAAGGACCGCGGCCTCCCCCCACGTGATGAGACCCTCACGGAAAGGGCTCCCCGGCTTCCCCCTCGCAGAGCGGGGACCCCCAGCCCGCGAGCAGGGCGCGGGCACCCACCTGCAGCCTCGGGGCCAGCTCCGCCTTCCGAGGGCACAGCGAAGCCCACAGCCCCGGATCCCCCGCCAGGAGCGGGGCCTGAGGTGAGGAGCTCTTCAGGCAAAGCATCGCCTCTCCAGACCACAGAGGAACTAATCATTAAAGGTGGAGCGTGCGGCAGGCACTTCAAAAGCACATGAAGGACCTGGTGCCTGCCCTGAGGGGGTTACAGGCTGAGTCAGGCAGACGAAAACAACGCACCAGATAAGGGACGGCCTCAGTTTGCACTAGAGATTTTACAAAGCAACCAGAAATCCAGATCACACCGGTAGCAAAGAGAGCAGTTGATGCCGACCTCGTCCCACCTCGCCCCGCTCCCATCCAAGGTGCCGGTGAAGCACCGAGGCCCCACTGCGCTCCTGATCCCAGCCTGCCTCCTGCTGCACGCGGGGACCTCACAAGGAAGGAGTTATTTACATTCCAGCCATCGGATTTTGGCACGGACAGCTCACAGAGAGGAACAGCAGAGCTGCACCCAGCTACCATTTCAGGCTGGCTGCAAACCTCACCGCTATGGCACACGTTCAGCTAGTGCTGGGGAGGTTACCTTTGAACTTTAAGAAGTGAGAGGCCTCTCTCTTAATCAGAAGCTTAAATTTCTGAGAAGGCAGTGATGGCTATGAAGAAATGAACCAACCTGCCAATTTGCAAAAACCTGGCCTGTCTGCCCTGGGAGCACATGAAGCTGGAATAGCGTTCTGACATCTGCAGATGCAGTGCGTTTCTCCATCTTTGTGACATGGCTGCTCAGCAACACAACAAGGAGTTTCAAAGACCAGCATTTATTTCAGCTGTACACGCGAGTCTGCAAGTCCTCCAAGCTGTACACAAGGGAGGATTTGACTCTAACATATCAAACTGAAGACATTAAGTTTTATTTACCTGGCTAGCTTAAGAAGCTTGAGAACTCATGCTTACTGGTCTCATTTTCTTGTACTTAATTATATCTGTGGGGCAGTTTTGTATCCAAAACAATTCACAAATGACACACACCATGCACAGAAGTATCACACATGCATTAAACAGCACCAGGTTGCCTTGCAGGATCTGCAAGCTCCCTCAATTCAAAGGGCAATTTCTGTCCCCAGAGGCACACCCTCAGCTTCTAATTAGACCACAGCTCCACCGAACATTTTAGCATCTGCTTAAATCCATCTCTACTTAGCAAAGGAATGAATGGATAGAAAGGAATGGATGGCTGAGTAACTACCCAGCAGAGGGAAAAACAGGCTAACAGTGTGCTGTATCAGAGCAGCACCCTTTTGTGAATAACTCGATGTTTCATGTAAAATCACACAATCACGGGGGTTGAAAGAGACCTCAAGAGATCAAGTCCAATCCTCCCATATCATCCCTTATTGAGGGACAGCAGTGATATTAGAGATCTATTATAGCAGTGTGTAGGTATTCTAAGTAATAAGAAGAATTTTGAAGGCCAAAAGGCTGCTGCAGTGATTGAGGCTTGGCACAGTTGCTATTTTGCTGCCACTGCTTTGTAAACAGGCTCTGTGATCTCAGCAGCAGTGAGCTGCTGCTCGCTCTCCCAACACCACATAGACCTGCACCTCACATGAACTGCAGAAGGACTTTGCCTGCAGTCTCCCTGCCATGATCTTGTCTTGCTCTTGCACTGCCTCTCAGTTGGCACAAACATCCATGCAATCATGTGGTAGCTGGAACGGCCTGAAAAGTGACCAATTTTTCTTTATTTCTGAGTCGATTTTCAGCCAGACCAATTTCGAGTCCAGTTTACTTTGCAGCTGTATAACAGCATGTTCTGGCAGTAAAGATGGGACAGTGTGGGCATGGGACAGTTTTTCAGGAGCAATGCCAACTTACATCAGTTTGAATTTTGTCACACCACCATCTCAGCAGGCCAGCCCCTAACTTCTCACCTTTTCTTGCTGCTTAAGATGCACTGCTTGGAAAGTTCTACTTATTTTTGACATAAACTGTTCCTCACTTAATTCAGTACTCTAAGGCTCTTATTAGGAAAGTAGTCATTTACTTACAGACAGATGAATAACCTCATTACCCTGGTTGTTTTTTTTTTTTTTAAGTTAATGGTGCAAATCCAAGTGAAAGCCACAGCAGCCTCCAGCACGTGTAGCACTCCTAGTAACCGAAGCAGCGCAGCAGATGGAGCGTTCTCTAACTTCACTCCCAGCACGGAACTCGATGTGCAGGAGCCAAGACAGACATTTGTGTCTGGTAATGCCATCTGTGTCTGCAAAACTGCAACGCGTTCGCTGGAGTGCTTTTTGTTTGTAGGGAACACGTTAATGGTGGGTATCGCATACTGCAAAGTCAGTATTATGAGAATGCTAAAAACCAAAATGAAATGAAACAATCCAATTTCTAAGCACCAACAGACAGAATTAAAGAATATGAATACTGGAGATTCGCAGAAACAAACGGGACATGTGAAACAAGTGACAGCACTGACATTTAGCTCCATGATTGAACACAATCTCTTTAATAAGGGCTCGTGCCCTCTGGGCACTCACAGCAATAGCTGGGACTGGTATCTATACAGGAAAGGGGCAGTGTGAATTCCCAGAGATGGAGAAAGCTAATCTCTTGAGGATTTCATATTTAAACTGGACAAGTTTAAAGAAGGAAAGTCTCCTGAGAGTCACTAAGCACACAGAAACCACTTCCAGCTCAAGAACTCCCTGCCTGAACTGCTTACAGTGGAAGTTCAGAAGTCTATTAAGGGGCTGCATCATTTTATGCTTGTGCTGCTTTCCCATTCCTCCCAGAGCAGCTATGACAGCAGGCAACAGCAGACAGGTTACTGAGCACCATGGAGCTTTGTCCTTATCCAAGACAACTTCTCTGGTGCTCCTAGACTATCAATATTTGCTTTTAAATTTATCTTTGTTGCTTCTACAGACCAATAAAAATTTTATGCCACCAGTGCTGTTAAATCATCTTTCTTCACCCCTTCTGGTAGATGATGCTCACTAGATCACTCTCTTATACTCTCACTCCAGCTGCATCATGCTTGCCTTTAACCCTTATGCACAACTCTCCCCATGAAAAACTCCATTTTCACATTTCAAGCACCCAGTCTTTCACTGTTTAACTTCCCTTTACCTATCACATCTACTAGTTTATCAAGCTGCCAACCTCTACCTTCCCTTTGCTAGTGACAGCAACCTCTGTGGTTATATGTCTGCTTCTTGAACAGGCATCCCTTCCTTTCTAACAGGTCACCCCCCACACATAGGAAAAGCTCCATGTCAAAATCTGTTGAATTGCTACTTCTCTAAAATCCCTCCTTGAAACCTACCATCTGGCAGTTCATGATGCAAGTAGCGAACTGCAAGAACACACTCTGCTTTTTCTGCTAAATTCTGTTAGTCGTGTTGTTACCCTATCTTTTAAGCCATCTCTGCCTTGTTTTGTTTACTTACTGCATTTTTTCCTCGGTATCTGGAGCATGCCTGCTCCAGGTAAGGGACAGTTTTCCTTGCTTCTTTGTACAGCCCAGGAGTCCTGAAGATTTTAATCACGATTCTGCTCCTTAGTTTTAGCTTATTATAAATAAAGCACGTTATTTAGTGGGGTAACCACTTGGGAAGGGGAAACAATTTGCCTGAGTTCTATTTTCCGCTCTGACTGCACAGCTTTAGGCAAGTCACACAGGACATTTCCAGATGCACGTGTGAAACTTGTCACTCTTATCCATACCTGATGACCCTAACAAGCAGTTTACTTGTTCAGGATACAGTACCTTTAACTTCTGCTGAAATCAGCAGTGCTCAGCACATCACAGGACAGGGCTCCTCTACAATGCTTGCCACACAGCCTCTCTTATTATAGAGAACCTGCACCTTCCGGAACATTATTATGGAATAAGAGACAAAATGGTGCAAAATGGACTGCACACTTCTTTGTGCACGTTAGTGTCAATCTATTTTAGACATTACAGTTTGGAAACAGTTCTAAGCAATTTGCAGAACGCTAAAAGTTGGTTCAACAACAGAGTGTGAGACGCTGCCAGCATTAGGTCTGGCCAATAGAGAATGCCTCTAAAAGAGAAACAGCAGTGAAGTCAACTTAGTGCTTCCAGGATTATCTGCTGCTCACTAGCCATACAAGTCAACAGCTGTTAAATTATTAACAATAAACCCAATTTCTGTTGTTCGTTCCTATGAAACTTCTTACAACACATATTTTCAGGCCTCCAAAAGTGGTATGTTTCCTCTAAACTTTACTCCAAATATTTAAAAAACAAAAACAAATAAGCCACTACAATTTCAAGGCAGACATTCAAACAGAAGGAGCACTGAGGTGATTTCATATTAACAAACTCATCCAAAGATTGACAGAAGAAGGACAAACTATCTGCAATCCTCATCAAACATGTTCTGAGAGGTTCCTCTACCACCAGAAACACAACGTATGCAGCAAGTCCATGTTTGGGAACTTCAGCAGGTAAGTAAACTGCCATGAACGGCAGAAACAAATCTTTGAGGGAGACCCACACCTATTAACAATGGACTGCAAGCTCATTTCACGAAGCATCAGCTAACAACTTTTCAGCCATTAGTAATTTAGAACCTGAGAAGGATCTGAACCCAGCCTACAGAAGGACTTTGATCATACTGTATGAATTGTAAGACATCTGTATCTGTGAAGAGGCTTTTTGGGACAGTGCTTTAGGAGAATGGAATAGTTCAGCTGGAAGGGACCTAAACAGATCATTAAGTCCAACTTCCCACTAAAGGGAAGTCTGTCATTTTCAAAACAGTTGCTGAAAACAGAAATAAAAAGGTACTTTTTAAAGGGATTTGATTGAAAATGTACTCAAATCGTAGATTATTTCTCAGTTGAAAATATTTAGAAAAATTGCATCAGGAAATTTAAAAGGCATACACATACATAATTCCTTTCCTAAAGATCCCAAACACAGGCTTTAAGATCATGAAGCATCCATTATAAAATTCTCAAAAACAAAATTGTTCTCCTTCAAATCTGGAGCAGCCTATCAGCATTACACTGCTTAAACAGATCAATCACATCAATTTCTCTTCCTGCTCACTGAAAATGAAGATTTCCTTTCCTTCTTGCTTTTGAGTTCAAAAGGAATTAAACCAGGAGGTCAAGAGGAAAGCATTTAAAGAAACTTACTTTTTCACTTTGGGGTATTTCATCTCTGAAATAGCATTGGTAGCATCTGTCTGTCTCTCCTTCAAATGCTGTGGCCACATATTATCCACCCAGTCGACTAAGTCCACCTGGAAGCCCCAAAAATCAACTGTTAGTCACTGTACACATGGTAGGATGTACCCCTGTTGGCTGGAACTCTAATAGCGGCAGCAGCAGATGAGTAGCAGGCATACTTTTTTGTAGCCAGCATTCCAGAAATTGCATTTATGAACATTAAAACACAAGCACAAAAGAGATTACATTTTTCCAATACATTACATTTCAAGGAACATTAAACCCATTCTTCTGGCCACATTCTGATTTGAGTAATTACATTATCATCTCCTTCACTGTTCTACTTCAGATTAAAATTCACCGAAGTTCTTGTTCAAATGCCAAACTTCTAGGAAGCATGGCAGGAGATAACAGTGAGAAAGACATTACCAGCAAGATGAAGAGGAGATGGAAACTGGTGCCTCCTGAGGGACATTTTAACACATCTCTCCTGGTTGCCAGAGCATTAGCTGACCATCAGTAAGGTCAAGCCTGTGTCTCATTCGTTGGTCTTTTTAGTGGTGTCCTAGGTATCCATAACACTCCCTTCTGGTTACACAAGTGGATCACACACACCAGGTTTCAAAACGGCAAGCTCCAGCGAAGGAGGGAAGCCCAACCAGGCAGGCTGTAGTGCGGCATTTGGCCACAGTGTGGCTGCACATCCCGACGCAGCTCCAAACCTCCTGCCGTGCTATCTACGGGTCAACAAGGGCTGTGAGACCTATCCGAGGTGTTTGTTGGTCACCTATCCTCCCACTGTGTGCAGTAAGAACCGAGAGGTGCAGTTCTGCCATGGGCAGCACTCAACCTAGCATCCTGACTGCTGCATCTTTTAAAAGGCCCATGCAAGAACGATTATTTGTATGAGCTGACCCAAAGGCTTGCATCCCCAAAGCACTTTCATAGTGCTGCACTTAGCACATGACATTCTTGCAGGTTAGGGCTGTTGCTTATCTATTTCTCCATCTGCACCAGGTACTGTTGATAACAAGCAGTACTTGGAGAAGAGTCAAAGGGAGATGATACAGGCAGTAGAAGAAGTGGCAGTAGAAGTACCAATTCTGTGACTATCACAGTTGTATGTAGAAACAAAATTGATGATTACTGCCCCAGTTCTGAAATAATCCCCACATCCTGATATTGCAACCCACAGCCTTTACACCAAGTCACATGTTTCTGCCTTGTGGGCTGAAATAGCCCTGCAGCATTCACAGGATCCACTCCTACAAATACAGTATTTGGTTAATATCTGACTTTACGTACCGACTGGACTTGCCCACAGTCCCTGGCACTCTCTTCTTCTATCTCCCACTGCAGCACCTAAAGGGTGCTGAAAGAGCACTCTTCCAGTGAGATCTAGATATTGCTGGTTTTACAAACCACTTTACACTCGGGCTGAATTAAACAAACATGAAAAATTAATTTACATGGGGTAATAGGGACCTAATTGCATTTTTCAGTCCTGAGCACCCAGGAAATTAGCACAGATGTTTTAAAAGCTCACTGAGAATGATATGCTTGGGAAAAATCGGGATCAGCTGAACACCAGAAACTCCCCAGAGCACTTCCAAAACTGCCTGGCTAGTGTCTGAATGACAGCAAAAACCTGTATAAACTTCTGAATAAGTGCTTAATATTCAATTTGTGATACACGCGTAACAGAACACAAACCCCACTTAAGAATTACTTCCATAAATCAGCTATAAAATCTGCCACCTACTTTTTTTTCTTCACCAGTTCAGGCATAAGTATGGCATTTATATTGCCTGCAAATGCAAGAGATGTCCCCAGTGGAAAAAAAAAAAAATACAACAAAAACAACCACTAGTATAGCTGCAATAGCACTTAGAAATTGTAAGAAAAGTGGCTGACAGCAAAGCACCATAGGGCTACAGTTTTACACTCTGCAGCACCATGAACATTCAGTGCCAGAAACAGGCTCAGTGGGAACAAGCAGCACTCATTCTGCTCTGAGAAGTCTCTTTGTTCTCTGATCAACCAGAACCCATGCCCAAATTTCTCTGTCAAGTGTCTGGAGGAGACACCGTGAAACCTCCAATGCCAGTTCCTCCACTGTATCACTGTGTACAACGAGCTGATGCTGTAATCCTCACTCACGTATGGCTACTTTTTAGTAATAAATGAAATTATCTTTATTAACAAGGTCACAGTTTCACTGCTAGTAACTCCATGAAGTTACAGGAGTCACACACTTTTCAAAAATGCATACAAATTTACCTTCTTCCTCTGCCGATGCCAATTCCAACCAAGCAGTAATTATGACGAATTAATGATGTGTAAACTTCTATATTTAATACATGTATTTTCAACTTCTTTGCTTTGGTTCTCTTGAACATTTTTGCAGTGAACAAGAGGGTCTGTAGAAGGAATTTAAGCTCCTAGGTTATGGCTTTAAATTTCCTCTTCCTTAGAGATAATCCACAATTTCCTTCTTCACCAAGCCATAGACCAAGACTGCTTTTTTTAGGGTAGTAATAGCTTTATATTTTACATTACAAAATAGCTCTATTGTTATTTTGGATTAGGTTGTATTTGCACATTAACACTTGCACAATACCAAAAGACAATAGACAGGTATTTAATTTTAAATGCAGTTTTCCCTAAATACATCCAAAGGAATTGGATATCAGTACAAATTGCATGATTAAGAGCTCATCAGGCACCTAATTCCTGTAGATTAAGTTCCACCTCAAGGAGACAGTGGAAAATGAGATCCTAAACAGACAAGAATTACAGGTGCTCCACGTTACTTTCTTTCTAGTGTGCATCCTGCAGCGCCATTATTTATTACAAAGCAACTGCTTATTGGAAAGAAGCTGAAAATAAACAGGATCCCTTACCACATTGGGACGCTTGACAATGTTCTCCAGCTTTGTGTGGCTGAACTCCAAGCTGATGACATTGTAGAGTTTTTCACGCTGGGCCTCTGGTGTTTCATAGTATCTCACAAACTGGGACATGCTCATTTCAACACCTCTTTGTGTGTTCACATCCATCACATCCACTATTCGACGACTTCCTGCAAATGCACAGAAATGCTCCTAAAACATTTATTTTAAATGTGTAAGTTCTCAGCAACTTCAGGGAAGCTGTTGTTAGAGGACAACAGAACAGCGTCAGTACCTCCCCAGCCCTAAGCAGCTCAATCAGCAGGTAACTAACCTGGAACAAGACTTTGTGCCCAGTATGACACCGAGCGAGTCATCTGTTGCCTTTGCTTCAGAGAGATGGAGAGTACTTCCCTCCTTTACACAGACAACATGAGCAGTACATTAAAATCTGTGAAGAACTGATTTAATGTGGTAGCAGGGGGCATGTAAGACAACTAGCTCTCCAAATCATACTGTGCAATCTTCTAAACATGCATATGCCTCTCCAGATGCTTTTGGCCATGTACAAAAGTTACCCACAAAAAGCAGGCTGCATAAACAGATATGAACTGCTGAACACCTGATACTGATTGCTGTGTATTCTCAATTTCAGTCATTGCTAGTGGAGATGAAAGCAGCAGAAGCACTCACTTCGGATCTCTACACAAAAACCATGGGACATACTTGCAGCTCCTTGAGTGGCAGACATACAAGTCTCATTAGCACCAAAATGTTGAACAGCAGTTTTTGTCAAGCCTTCAGCTTTATACAGATTAATCCACAGTCTTCTCTTCGGCCAACTGGAAGGTTTCACCCCTCTCAGCAATTTCATCACCCTAATTAGCAGTTCATTTGTGTGTGAGCAAAAGGGAGCCTATGAGAGACATGCCTCATTTCCAGGAGAGAAGGATTCCAGCAAACAAACTTGCAGCACTTCCAAAAAAATCACTCCAAAACAATTTCCGTTGCTGAAGAAATAACTCTAAGTAAATTGTATTAAAACAAAATGGAGAGCCTATATTATGCCATCAGAGGGAATTATTAATAATTGCAGCACCTGGCCTATTGTGTGCTTGGGAGCAGTATTTCAGCAAGAATGATAGTTTGGATTTCATTGCTCCATTAAAAACATCCTTAGCCACTGATAGCAATGACAGTGACAGATGTGATAATGATTCTGGAAAGGAACTCAAGACCATAAAGCTTTGTAATCAAAAAGAAAAATTTATACAGTGTAAGTCTGGAGTAGTCCCACTGGCCCGTCAGTCAGACTCCACTGCAGCACCACCAAAATGGGATTTGATTCCTCAGTCAGAACTCAGGACTGCACGTAGTGTTGCCACCTTGAGGCAGGATGGGGAGAAAGCTTAGTTATGTGTGAAAAAGCACAAACATCCTTAAATCTGGTATTTGCACGTTTGAAACAATACACAAAACCTAGTTCTTTTGCCTTTTTTTTTTTTTTAACTTGCTTTTTGTTGTTGTTTTTTTTTTTTACTGTAACTTTACCACCTAGGGGGAAAGCCTGTTTTTCACTCATCGGGTTATCAGCTGGGGCAAAGTCCTGCTAAACAGCCCCTGAATTAGTGCCAGCCTGGTTAGTGACTTCCACAGCCTGAGGATTAAAGCAGAGACCACAGCCCAGAGGGGTTAAGTACTTTGATACTGAAAAATTGAATCTGAAGGGCTTTGTTGCAGTCTGAGATGTGCCATAGTACAATCTAGGTTTGATCTCAGCCGCACTGGAAGCGACCTCATACAGCCTCTCAATTACCCTTTCTGAAAGGAAAATCAGCAGTTACCTGATGAATTACAAATATGAGGCCCAGTTCAATAACAGGGTTGTTAGATGTACCTGATTATCAATTACAAGCAGAAGAGCTAAGATGTGAATTGACAGTCACTTGACTTCCGAATTAAAGAGTAATTAGAGGGGCTGTTTTTCTTTTAAACCACAGCACCAAACACCCTGTACATAATGATTCCTGGAGCACCGCTTGCAAAATTTGAGACATATAATTACAGGTTCACAGCCTCAGCTCACTGCCCACTTCCCAGTGGCTCTGGCTTACTGCCAGCTTTTTTTCTCTTCTCCCCTGAAAAGATTCAGCTGTCCCATCTACTTCCTGCCTCTAGGAGAAGGTTAAATATTATCCAGAAAGGGAGACCGGTGAAGAACAAGAGAAAGGAACACACAGAGGCTGAGAGATGTGAGTTCAGACAATTTCTGAGGCTGTGTGCCATTTATTGTGAGCAACTTAGCATTTCCCAGATATTACTAAGCCTGTCCACATTAAGAGGATAAAGCTATCTTGGGGAACTACTTTAACCATTTGTAACAGAATTAAGATCTGTGCATAACGAATAGCTTGATGCCTGCAGTCAGAAACCAACTTTGAATGCTGAGGGCCAGGTCTGCTGCTCCCTCTTGATCTTTATTCTTCTACAGGGAAAAACATCCCTGGATTGCAATGCAGGATTTTGGCAGAGCCCAAGGAAGCCTGTTGGCTTCACTAGTGGGTTAATTGTACCTAGAGTTGCAGCTTTGACCTGAATCCAATCAGTCCCTCTGGAGCTTCTGAGCTGGAGAGCACAGATACATGATAGCCTTTACTGGCTAGAGGGACAAGAATCAGAGCAGAACGTCCTTGCTCAAATAGAGCTACTAATGAGATTTCCCCATGCTTCAGAACCAGCATCAGTACAAATTTAGTTACAGAAATGCATCCTCCGGAGGACACAGAAGAACAAATGGCAGCAAGAGTCCAGCTGCACACTTCCACACACTTCTGTGCCCCCATGGTGGTTCTCCCACCCATTGTTTCCCACCACAGGACAGGCCCCAGCCACTGCCCTCTTGCCCTGCAGCACCAGGGTCAGAAGCAGCCCCAGACTGGAGCCCTTCCCACACCAGGAGCCTTTCACTAGGGTCAGATTATTTCCTTCTTACAGAGATGCAAGGCTACCTGCACCCAATAAGCACCTTCCTCATCTGCCATCCTCAGCATCGGCAGCTCTGCCATTTGTTATAGAAGTGCCAACCTGCAATAACCCATGCTGTTAGATTTCTTCATACAACAAAAGGTTCATTTAGAGCACGTCTATAGGAAGAGCTTAAGCTAGCAAGAAGTCTTAAACCTTAACATTATAGGACCAAAGGAGGTTCACAGCAAATAATGTTTCAGTAGCATTATGTAGAAGCCATTAAGATCTTTATGTCTACACAAAAAATAAACTGTGATTTCCAGGAATTCTTTGAGATAAAACCACAGCCATAGAAAGCCACACGAAAAAGTTTCCAAGCTTCAGCAGGAGCAGCTTGAGACATATCTAGCTGTAGTCACAGCAAACTTCCAAAACGTGCTGATTAATACTTAGGTAAAGTTATAACTGCAGTCAAAGGTCATTTTGGACTAAGGTAACTTATAACACTAAATCACACCAGCTACCATGAAAAGACTTTGCATGCTGCTACCCTAGGATAAGATAGTTGTTTTCTAGCCTGGATGAGCTAAGCCAGAGAATGCCTATTGCAGAAGAACAGCATCGTTATGGGCAATTAATCTAAATAGCTGGTCTGGTTGTTTTTCCCACATATACAACTGGTTTTAAAGCCACTTGTAGACAGAAACATTGAGATAACAGCAACCACATCAACATATCAGTTCAATTTCCTTTTGGTGTTCTGACATCATAGGTATATTTCTTTCAGAGAGGTTTAATTTTTTTACAGGATTCATTCAAAGATGATTTGCTGCTGTTTATATCTGGGCAGGAACATGACTTTTTAGCATAACTGTTTCAGTTTAACTACAATTTTTATTTATTTTTGGAAGAGTTTTGCTGTATTAAGCAAAGAACTTAGAGTGATCAAACAGGAAGCTCAGCTCTAAAAATAGGGATGGTTCTACTTCCAAAATGGCAAGGCAGCAGACATGCTAAACATAGGAAAACATCACAATATTTTTTTTTTAATTAAGCACAAGGAGGGAGCAAAGAACTTTTTTATTTTATTGCACAGAAGTCCTAATTGTGAATCAAGGCTCACTCAGCACCAAGGCAGAAGACCACATGTATCATGTCTTAGCCCAGCATCAGTGCTGAGAGCTAAACTGGGACACAACAAAAATAGAAAGTCCTCCTGCTCTGTGTGAGGGAGGAAGAAAGCTGGGTTAGGTTTCTCCTTGTTCAGCCTTTGAGGCACCTCACCGAGCCCAAGCCTGCAAGCAGGAAGGAGACAAGAGACCACTACCAGAAGCAGGGAGAGAAGGAAAGGAAGAGCAGGACTCCAGTTTGGACTTAATTGGTAGGGCAAGAAAAAGTGCTGTTAGAAGCAGTGCCAATGAGTAGCATTAAGAATAGAAATGCTGTAACAGGTGACAATAGCAGAAACTATATGCCAACTTAGATGACGAAATGATTGTTTGGTACCAGAGCATGGTGCAAAAATTCAAGGGGGTTCTAAGTAGTTTCTAATTTTAATTCTGCCCAAGATGGAGCCCAGCACTGCTCCACAACTTGCCCGCTGCACCCAGTTGGCTTGACTCTCCCTAGATCTGAGCAAGAAAGAAACAGGCCAGAAGTGACATGAGTGTGTCTCAGTATACATGCCTGCATGTCCCACAGATCTCATGACAAACAAACAAAAAACCACCACCAAATCATGCTGCTGCTGCTTGCAGCAAGGTACACTGATCCCTCCATTGTCACCAGTCCACAGCTGCTGAGATGATCATGACAGCACCTGCTCCAAGCTGAAAGGATTTCTCTCCACTTTCTCCCAAACTATGATGAGATTGGGGGTGAAATGAGTTATGTACTGTAGAGCAGCCTCACCAACACAGGACAGATGCAAAGGAAACAGGAGAGGTCGCTCAAGGGAAAAGAAAGAAGAGACAAAAGGGATGTGCCAGTGTTTCTTCAGTGCAGCACTTGAAAAAGAGACACCTGCCAGATAAGAACTGGAATTAATCACTTTAGCAGAACAGCACTTTTTTTTTTTATGGTCCTTATGTTTCCTCTATCTAGTTCTCATGTAGAAAAAGAAATGCAACAGCTAGAAGTTTAGGCAGCTCACACCAGCAGCACGATATAAACCACTTACGTGGCAGACCATTGGTTTGACTCCATCCTACCTTTGGAGCACCTG